TCAATGTTCTATCTATCTATCTATCTATCTATCTATCTATCTATCTATCTATCTATCTATCTATCTATCTATCTAATTAAATTGCAAATCATCATTGATACTGGAACCACAATATATTTTTTATTTTTCAATCTGCCTGAAAGTCCAAACTCGGGGCATGAAAGTCCCCCTTTCCATTTCCGCGTGTCACACCGTCACCTGTCCCCCGGTGATCAGCAGCAGAGGAGCCGTCGGGGCGGAGCACCTCTGCCAACACAAGCAGCCCCGTTCAGAAAGATGGAGCTCGGAGTGAGACAGCGGTAGGAACATGAGCTGTCACCCCGCAGCCTCCGCTCCCGTCGCCGGCTCGGCTCAGTAGCTGACACCGTCTCCGCGCAGAGAGCTCCCGCGGGCAGACTGCGCCTCTATGGCGGCTCTGTCCCATCTAGTGCTCCGGTTCTCGGACTCCGCCGGTCGCTCGTACGGCGTCTTCTCCAAAGGCTTGACGAGGACTTTGTTGATATTTTTTGATCTCGCATGGCGGCTGCGAATCAGATTCCCGTACATCTACCTCGTCGCCTCCATGATGTTTAACGTCAGATTACAGGTAATGCTCTCCCCCGTCGTGTGGTGAAAAACACGGTGTCAAGTTTACCAGGTTATCGTGGGTGGAACAACAGCTTTTAAAGGTTCAGTGTGTAGAATTTAGTGACATCTAGCGGTGAAGTTGCATATTGTAGCTGAATACACCTCATCCTCTACCTCCAAACATGAGAGAGAGCCTCCAGGTTCAAAAGATGTTTAGTTTGTCCAGTTTGGGCTTCTGTTAAAAGAGAGGACCTGCCACCTGTAAATATAAAGTATTTAAAAGTAAAGGGCCCATTCTAGGGTAAAGAAAACAACAATTCATACTATTTAGATGAAACACACTAGTCAATAAATCTCTAGGGTTATTTTATATTCAATTTTTGCCAAAAGAACCCTCTCACCTAAATCTTACATATTGAACCGTGTGGTTAGTTAGTTGAGTTACTTATAAATACTGTGCTGTATGAAGTCATGCTGTCGGCACACTGAGATGCTTTTCTTCTTTATTTATTCCCCCTCTTCAGATAGATGGTAGATTAGATTTAACTCAATTTAAAAGCAGTTGCTAGTTTATTAGATTAAACTAATGTTGTAAGCTACAACTGACCCACAGTAAATCACTGTCTCCTTAATGTTCAGTTTTTATTTTAACTGTGTCAGAGAGCGGTTGATTCTAGGTCCTGGGCCACACAAAATTCAACATAATACCAATTATGCATATATGATATAAGCATTATATCGATATGTGTTGGACTTTTGTTATATTGCCTTGTCTTCTTTTATTATTTTCTGAGAAAAATAACTGACGGCTCTTCATCTCTTCGCAGGTGCACATTGAAATCCACTGATCAGTCTCCAGTGCCTGCTTTTGAACTCAGAAAAGTAAATTGTGAGCACTGCCATGTTTCAGTCCTCTACAGAAGACTGGCTGATGCTGCAGCCGCGCGCTGGGGGGAAATGTAATTCTGCAGACTGGTGTGGCGACGCAATAATGTGACACCGCCCGTTGGCGTGGTCAGCCCACGTCACACGAGCCCAGTGCCTTTTGCAGGGGGGAAGGAACAAACGTGACGTCTGCAAAAACGAGCAGAGGTCAGTCGCTCGGAGGGGAAAGATGCATCATGAGGTTTTTAACTTGCCACCGAAGATTCAGGAGCCGCTCATCGTGTCTGAGAAGACTGTGTCGTACGAAAGCTGGACTGTGACGCTGCCTTTTCTGTGAATAGTGAAGACGGTGGCGTTGGTTTTATCGTAAAAACAGATGATTGTTGCTGTGGGATGTTTTGGCTTCTCTTTACTGTCTGACATGTATGTTTTTAGGCACTCAGTGTAAAGATGTCACAGAAGAAAACTGGAATAATTTCACTTTAATTTAAAAAATAAACATCTACACCGCATGACACAGGCAAAGCATGTTTGTAGCTGTGGCTTGGACACTTTACCTGAGGCTGGGTTCTGCTGGATAATCGGTACATGGTCTCTCAACAGAGGTTTTTTTGTAGGATAACACAACAGATACAACAACTCATCTCCTCTTAGAGTTTACAGTGTGTTAGAAAGGGCAGCCTCAAGGGAATCACTGCATGTCCTCTTTGTGTTTGTTCACACAGGTTGTCACTGTTGTGTTTCGCTGTAACAGTGAAACATTTTACCTTGAAAACTATTTTTGTAGCTTCATTTGTCTCAAGTGTTTGTCTGTGATAAATGTCAGGTTTGACGTCACAGAACCAAGGATGAGGAGAATTGAATTTTAAAAGTAATAAATTAATGAAATCGCTCTTTTAAGCCTTTTTTGTAATTCTTTATCACATTGGCAATCTTTCTCTTTTTATTAATTTGACCGCTATAGATAAATGTCATTTTGCATTACTCTCTGTATCTTCAAACAACATATAAACATCAAAGTGTGGATAAACCATTCTCTCTCACTCCCTATTTTTCTTTCATCTCCAGTGATGTGTTCAGTCCTAAATAAGGAAAGAGCGGAACTAGATTTTACAAACACAAGGGCCAGGGGAAGACACAGTGACAGAGAATTTTCCAATTCCAATCATAGTGATAAAACAAATTATTACACAAAAAGTATAATACTGAAGACCCAAATTAAAACATGGATACATAAATATGACTTTACATCTCTTGCACAGTAAACTTGACCCACTTGTGCTTGAGAAGTGTCCCACATCAGAATTTCTTAAACACAGGTTGTCTTTTATTTACATCTCAAATTATACTGTTGGATATTTCTTCCAGTCTTAAAAGAAGCTGAAACTTGTTGTACTACACAAATAAATAAAGTGCACTTCTGGAGGGTAGAAGTGACAGAAACTCTTCATGTGTATTGGGAATTATTACAATACAACATTTATAAACTAAGTTCTGTGAAAGTGAAGTTTTATAGAGTCTATTCCTTATCTGCTTTTGATGGAGTGGTGCAGTATAGGCTGTCCACATATTCCAGGTATATTGTTTTGACAACATGAGCTTCCCTTTACTTTGAAGAAGAAAATTCAAATCCTTTATATAAGCTTCATGTGAGGTTTCAGTAAAATTACATCTAACCAGTGAACTTTGGATGAGTTCTGACTTTACCTAGTACATTTGCAAACACAGGACTAAACCACTGAATAATGTTTTGGACATTTTAATCAACAGTAGAATAAAACATTCATCAATATGGACTGAAGCTGCTGCCAAGCTGTAATTTGACAGCTGACTGCCTTTCATTTTGTCTTGTGGAGTGTGTCTCCACCTCTAAAAAGAAAAGTTAAATTACAAAGCAAGAAAAACGTTCTCCTGCACCTTTTCATCACTTAGCACTATACGTTTACGCAGACCTCTGCTGAGCTACACTGAAATGCCACGCACCTAATTCTCTTTTGAAATTTGATTTTAATGTGGCAGGAAAAATCTTATTAAATTGGCAAAAAATATGTCATTTCACTTAAAAGAAAAAGCTCAATAATCGTCTTTTTAACCTCTTTTTCATTGAATTGTATTTTATTTAATTTACACTAATGTAAGTTTTATAAATCTCCCATAAGAGACAGAAGATGGCAGCCTGCTGCTTAAGAATTAGCATATTGCAGTACGTGAAGTGTCCACATGAGAGAAGCATCCTATCACTTATCGCCTGTCTCATCTGTTGGAAACACAAGAGTCAGCTGAGTGATGAATATAACAATGATTATATTTGTCTATTGCTATTTAACTTTAATTATTGCATCAGTTTCAATCTTATACAGTGTTTTATGGGTAAGTTAACATTTTTAAATGTGTCTACTTGTGGAAATGACACTTGAATGTAGCATAAAGTATAAAGTGTGTTTTGATCTTTTTTCTGGGATCAGTTAGATCAAATTCCTCTGTGATCCATTCCTGGGTTTTTACGCAGAGAAAGTACTTGTAATGATTGAGCCTCAGCCAGCAGCAGAACCATTTGGCACCTCTCTTCAATGTGCACTTCTTTTAAGTTGATTTCCAAACTGCTGACACCTTTGCTCAAAAAAAAATGTCCCCAGCAAACTTCTCCTAACCATTCGCTAGATGCCAGGCGGCAGTGTAAAACCATCCTGGGTTGCCAAGGCAACTGTAGTTTTTCCATGTGACAGACAAACCCTCTTGCCCGCTGCCTCCCCCTTTTCTGGAATAAAAAAAGAGGATTTATTTCTCAGGGATTTGTCAGAGGAAAATATTTTAATAAGGTTATCATAGAGGACTGGCAGAGAGCGGCAGGGAGATATGTAGATGAAAGATAAGTCGGGTTATCTTTACCCTGTTTCTGTCAACCACCATTTGTACCCTCGGAAAAAAATAAAAATGGGGGTTGTGGAGTGAAGATTATAGAGTTTTAGCCTTTGGCATCTGCAGCAGCTCACATGTGTTTTATTGAGACTGAGTGTGAAAGAGTCATAATGCTGCAAATGGAAATGGCTGGGATTCAATTAAAGCTGCAATGCAGTACATGTAACGTACAACCCACTTCCATACGCAGTACTCATATATTCAATTGTAGTAGTTTAGCTGCTGTTATCTGCTTTTAAGTACCATTTGTAAGCGCTGCTCTTTCTTTGTATACATGGCTGCTTATTTGTTTAATGTTGTGTTTCATACTTAAAATTTGCACTTCAACATATATCAGTGTGACAAGAACTACTTAAAATGACAGAAACCATTTCTGAGAAAGGATTATTCGACGTGTACTTTGACATTTTAGTTTGGTCCATGTCCCATCCACAACATGGAAGAGGCTAGATTTATGGCCTATACTTCAGCCAGCCACCAGGTGGCAGTCGAGACGCTGTGGCTTCATTTTTGAGCAGCTGTCTTGTCTTCCATCTTTATATACAGTCTATGGTTTACACGATAAATATATGTAAATATATATAGGAGGTTTATAAAGTCTTCACAACCTTCTGCTCATAGATTGTGGGACAATAGGAATCCAAAAACACAAATAAACATCTGTTCACACTTCATAAAATCTAATCAGAAACTCTTGAACTTTACTCGATGGCAAAGACTTCAGAGTGTCCTTTGCTCTGCAGCTAATCTACTGTTCTATTTTTTTTGGCCATTTTCTTCAAATTTTCCTTGGAAAGTTGAACCAATCATAATTATCCACACCACATATTTGAACCTTTAGATCACTGCTCTGTTGAGCTTCATTTTAAAAGTCCAACATGAACATGTCGGCCATCAACTTTGTGCTTGACAATCAAGCAAGAACCAGACCTAAGTAAAAAAAATTGGACTCACTGCCTGGAGCTCATTTGACAAATCACAATTGTTTAATCACCTCAACAAGCAGCATGGGCATTTATAAATGACACATTCATTCTTCACATCCATGCATGGAGAATGGATTGCTGGTGCTAAATGTAATCAAACATTAATCCACATGATTTTAGCTGTGATGCATTAATCTGTCAACGCTCAGTTTGAGGTTTAGGTTTGAACGGCTGCTGCAGAGCAGAGCGTCGCTGTGTTTAACATCCTCTTTGTCAAACAGGGTCGCACCTTCTCTTCAAACGCTGTTGACCGGGGACAAGAGGCATATGCAAAGTGTTACAAAGGATAAGATCAGGTGCTGAGACGAGCTCGGAGCTGACCTCAAAACTGAATCAAAGGGGGTGGGGGAGGAGAAGAGGGGGGAGCCAAAGGGAGGGATATTGGGGGAGGGGGTATATATGATGCTGTATTTGCTGTAGACATTTGGTGAAACTCAAATAGGTCAGACAAGTAAAATATAAATATGTCAAGAGTCTGGTAATTTAGTTCAACCATGCTTTGATTTGTCCGATGTGTTTTACAGTGTTTTTATACTTTGCAGCAGAAATCAGTTAAAACTAGAATGGAATGGAGTCGAGACTATTCACTATGCAAGTTTCTCTCGGCTCCTGATCCAGACCTGCGTTAAAATCCCTCTGCTGGATGTCATGGAAATAAGTTGAGCAGTTTTTGCTTAATCCCGCCGACACACAAACGTAAACTCCTTGATAACAATCGATTCATTAGAAATCCCTGGCTCAGGAAGAAGAGGGTCAGGGGTTGAACCAGAAGGCCGATGGTTTGATCCCCATCATTCCAAAGTGACCCCGAATTTCCCCTGACAGCTGTACTGACAGTGTGTGAATTGTGTGTTGTGAAGAGGTGCTGTATGAATGTGTGTGTGAATGAGTGACTGGAAAAACTCTATACAAATACAGTGAATTGAACCTTTACCATTTATTTGCTTCAAATCCTCTAGAATTTTGAGCATTGATTTCCTCCTAGCAACACCATTATGTTGAGTATTGTGTTTATTACACAGGGAGATATGGAAGGGTCATTTCAGCTATATGCACTTTATGCTCTTATCTCGTGTTATTGTTTTTATCCTGTATGTTACACCCCCCCTGCAGCTGTATCCTGATAATCCTCTGATTGATAATCACTGAAATGACTTCTTGGGTAGCTGATGATCTGGGCTTCATTCTCATTCAATAGGTTTCTATTTAATTTCATAACTGAGAGAATGTGATGGTGGATGTCTTTAAAGATGAAGAATGCTCAGTAGTGACACTGGTAGGTTTGTTATGTAACCACTTCAGGTCCAGGAGCACACACACACACACACACAAACACAGGTTTGCTATCCTAACTGGGACTTTGCATTGACTTACATTCATTGTGGACAGCCTAACCAAAACCTTATGCCTAACTTTAACCATAACAATTCGTACCTAACCCTAAACTTAACTCATGACAACATACATCTTACTTTATCATGAACCAGGACCTCTAAAATGATGGTGACGAGTCTTGGTCCCCATTAGGGTCTACTGGTCCTGACAAAGTGCTAAAAAGGTCCTGAAGAGGCAACAAAAAGAAGTACACACACACACCCACACACACACACACACACACACACATACACACTCAGGCATACACTGCTGCCTTTGTGCTCAACAGACTCCAAATAAAGACTCTACTCATACGTGTCGCTTGGATCCAGAAAATCACCTCAGCTGTGACCTGCGATCAGGTGGCTGCAGGAAAGAGGTGGCCTGGATGCAGAGTATAGGACATTAAAAAAAAATGAGGGAAGGAGGAAATCCTGCCAAACTCTGCTTCCTGTGACCTTTATCTCATACACACGTGTCATCAGATTGACCCCTGCAACCTCGACAACAGGAAGGAGGTATGAAACCCTGACACATCCACTGGCTTTGGACATTCTAGTTTAAAGTTCAGTGAGATGCGCTTTGCAGTTGCTTCAAAATATCAATAATAATA